TTAAATACTGCATTATGGTTTGTGACAACTTCATCGCTATAGCGTAAATGAATTTGGAATTAAAGTCTTACTTAGGCATTCCACTACTTCTACCCCCTCCCCTCCATCCCTCAGTGTTACAAAGCAAAAGGCTATAAAATCAAGATGTTTGTTCATTTACAGATGGAGCAGCTTGGGAAAAAAAAAAAAAAGGGAGAAAAGGAGAGGCAGCGCGGAAGCGAGCACGAAACACTCGTGGCTTGTGAGCATCCTCGGGTGGAGGACAGCACGTCTCCGGCTGCAAATGGGAGATGCTGCACGTTAATTGTGTGCGCTCCCCTTATCTTCCGAACCGGGCTCCTCGGCACAACTGATCCCCAGCTGTGGGATTTCTGGGCACGGCGCTTTTGTTAGCAGTTAATAGCCCGGTTTTAATTTTTAACTATTGATTTGTGACTGCTCCATAGAGGAAGAAGCGCTGAAGTTTCAGACGTTCGGGGTTTGGTCCCGGGGAAGGGCACGGTGCCGCCTTTCTGGGGCACGCGCCGCAGCCTGAGACAGAGTTACGGCAACGGAAACTTTTGTTTTATGCCCAGGACCGGGAGTTTCAGTTCCATCCATCTATTAACTCGTCTCTAATGAAACTAGACCGTACGTGACATTTTGCAATATAACTGCTTTAAATGTTACCACATCAATTGGTTTAAATGTTACCCGCGCCTCATGAACCGGGAGATGGTTTTATAATTATCTCCGTCTCTCTCTAACGAACAAAGATTTCTACTGTCTGCTGCTATTTCACATTAGCAAAGGAAACAAGGATGCGTACTTGAAACACAGGCGCTCAACAGGCTAAAATATTAAAAAAATACGCAAGGAAGTTGTGACGACGGCCGAGGTGTTGGCTTGTCACATTTTGGCAAATCGGTGCCAATTTTGAAGCCTCCGTGATCTGTTTTGCCTGGGTGCCAGCTACTGCAGATTAACCACTCTCCAGACAAAAAGGGCTCCGACCCGTCCCTCTGCACACGTTTGTGTGTGTGTATGCAGGGTATAACACGGAAATCTCTAACCCGACTGCAGCCTGGGAAAGTTATGGCCGGGGAGGGACGGGTTTACCAGCGACACCCCACTTCAGTGTGTCCCGGCTCCGCAACCCCAAGTGAAATTTCCACTTCCATTTACGAAGCAATCTGGGAAATCACCAGGCATTTGTTACACTGGAAACAAAAGCGCTTTTTTGCCACCCATTCGAAGCAGGGCACCGCCGCAAATGTCACCCCCGCACCTCCCCAGCAGCTTAGCGAGGGGCTCGTTACTAAATCTCTGTCTCATAAAGGCAGAGTTGACTCTGGAGGAGCTGCTGGTTATAACGGTGGCTTTGGAAAATGGAAGCATTGTCACACTTAAAGACACAAATTTCCCCCGTAATATATTCGAATGGAAACCTCTGAATCCAATACTACATGGGCATATCTAATAAATTCACAATATTTCAGCCTCAACAGCCTACAACGGTTAGTTTTAAAGATTTATGTGGTAAAAAATTACTCGGTGATGAATATAGTTTATTCTGCGCAGTATTGGAGGGTATAAGGAATTAAACTACTGTCTTTAGCAGTGAATTTATTATTACCTCTGTCAGAGACGAAGCCTTTAACCGCATTTATTATGAATTTCAGGGCAAAATAAATGCCGGGGGCCGCCCGAAGCCCCCACACCGAAGCGGGACCAGGTGCCGGCACCGGCCGCGGGCCTGGGGGGGGGGGGCTCCGGGCCCCCGGGGGGGCGGGGGGGGCTCCGAGCCCCGCGCTGCGCCCCGGCGGCCCCGGCCCCCTTTTGTCCTCGCCTGCGCCGGGCGTCCCCTCATTTATACAAATTACCTGGGAGGAATGAGGCTGCCAGGGGCTCGTTCTGGGCGATTGGCTCCCGCCGGGGGGGCGCGGGGCCGGCCGCCGCGCGATGGCCTCGCTCCGGTGTGACCGGCGGGTGACCGCTGACTTCCCGCTGACCCCGGCCGCCCGCCCCGTGCCCCCCGCCGCCGGCCTCCCCCCGGCCCCCCCCCCTCCGCCCCGCTCCCCGCCGGCGGGTCCGGGCCGTGCCGTGCCGCTAGGTGTCAGCACCCGCCCGCGCTCGGGGCCGGCCGCCGGGAGCCGCCGGGACCCGCGGGGCGTCGGGGCTCGGCTCGCGGCGAGCGGGAGGCGGCGCTGTGGCACGGCCGGGACCGGGCACGGGGCCGCGGAGGGGCCGCCACGCCAGACCCTCGACGGGACCCAGGGCCCGGCGAGGCGCTGCGGGGGCATCACCGGAGCTGCCCCGGGGGCCCCGCTCCGTGCCGCCACCGGCCCGCGGCACCCGCACCCGGCTCGCTCCCCCTGCGGGTCCGTGCTGCGGGCAGCCCCCGCCCCGGGGCTCGCCCCTCACCCTGCAGCGGGGCCAAGGAAAAGCCCTCGACGGCCGCGGGCCCCCGACCCCCAGCCAAGGCCTCCCGGACGCTGGCACGGGTGGCCAGGCAAGGGACGGAGGCCGGGGGGACGCGGCAGCAATGGGACCGCTGCAAGGAGGGACCACGGGGACAAACCCACCCTGTCCCCGGGCTGGGGCGCGCGTCCCCTCCGTCACGGCCTCTGCCACCCACCCCATGCCCGCAGCCCCCTCGCCAGTGCTCTGGGCTGCTGCCAGCTACTGCTGTCCACTAACCCCCAAATCACTTTTCCCCGCTGTTGATGCTCGAAATGTCAGACAGGACCCGAGCAGCAGCCGGCATGTGTTTCAAACACACCAGATGGATTTTTATATTAGCTACTATTTCATGTTCAGACAGAGCGACCGCACCGCTAAAACTGCAGCCTCGATGCTGCCGAGTTTGCTTCTGTGAGATTAATTCTGCGAAATTAATTGGGACAAGATTGAAAAGGAAATTAAAATGCAGCTGAGTGAACAGGCTTTTCAAACACCTTTCCCCTCCGCTCGCCTCCCTCCTCTCCCCCCTTCGCCCTGTGCTGCCTCAATTCTGCTGCGGCCGCGAGCATCCGTCGCGCAAAGTAATTTACGGGGGAAAAGCTCCCAGGACCGATCGGTTACGTGTGAGGAAGCCAGCACAAGAGTCGCAATCTGGAGCCACTGAAGAGAGCAAAAACCCTGCCGTGACTCCAAGCTGTGTCCCCGAGCTGGCGGGGCAGCGCCGTGCTGCTCTTCCCACGCACCCGGACGGGATCTGCTGAATCCGCTCGGCCGCCGGCAGGACGGGCTGGGGGGGGCCGGGGCTGCGGCCAACGGGGGTCACCCCGGGGACGTCCATCAGCTGTTCCTGGCAACCCCCCCCCGGATAAACGAGGTGACAAGCCCAGGCTTTGGGTTCAGGCCCGGAGCACGTCAGCCTCGTCTCGCTGCTGTAAAGCAGCGGGGGGCAGAGTTGGTAAATGCCGCTGTAAAGTGCTTTGAGATCCACAGATGGGAAATTCTCAGCCTTCCAGAAAGACACAGTGACACCAAGAATAAAAGCCGCTCTCTGCTGATGCCAAAGATGCAGCTGCCTTCACGGGGATGCACAGGAGCTGGCTTCAAACCCACCCCTAAATGTCAGCTGGGCCGCGCTGCGCTCGGGGAGGCGGACGAGCAGCCGGCGGTCGGCCCCCACCGGGCTCGGGGCTGCTGCGGCACCAGCAGTGCCCGGCTCATGGCCCACCAGGGGAGCTGCAGGCTGCAGTCCTGGCCCTGCCACGGCGCAGACGTGCCCGGCAGGACACTGGGAGCCTGTGCCAAGGGTCCAGCCTCAAGGGCTCAGAGAAGGCCTCCAAGAGGAGGCCTGACGCTGCTGCCTCCGCTCCATTTCTACCACGGTGACATCCTGTGCCTACCACCAGGAGGCAAAATTAAATCCTGTTCTTTTTCTCAGCTGTGAAACATGGTGTTGGTCTTAGCAAGCCTCAGACTCTTCATCCCCAAGGACCTGTAACCCAGCGCTGCATGTGCTGCCCTTCCCTGCTTGGGGTTTGCTCAGCCTCCCCCAGGCAGGTGCCCACTGTGGGCAGCGGGGGCACGATGGCCGCCTGTCTGCCAGCAAACTGCAGCGTGCCCCCATCCCTGCCACCCCGCGGAGGATGCTCAGCACGTGGGTGATGCTGAGCCCTGAGACGTGGCTGCCAAACCTCCCTGGAGAGGGGGCTGGAGCCAGGGACACAGCGCAGGAAGCCGAAGGCACCTGCTGTGCTGGCACCTCGGCTGAGGGCTGCTCTGCGCAGGGCTGATGGCGTTGTTCCTCCCTCCTTGCTGCCAGAGCTGCACTGAGCGTGCAGTCAGGTTGTGTCGTGCACTGCAAAACCACCCGCGTAACGCAGCCCCCCACTGCATCGCTGTGCCCGTGCCAGATCAGGGTGAGAAGCGAAATGCCTCCCACAGAGTGCCCCTGGCCCCGCTCACCGCTGCCAGCCGGGGCCACCGCAATCAGGCAGGGAGCGGCTTGGAGCCAGGGCAGGGCCCTGCGGGGACGAGTGGGGCTGGCAGGGTCACAGGCACCGATGGCTGCCAGTGGCCCTGCTCTCACCCCTGAGGACCTGCTAGTGCAAACAGGTAATTTATTCACCTGCGTGCGCCTGCCGAAGAGAGCCCTGGTCATACTCGGCTGAGCAACTCAATTACCCCTGTAATACCTGAGCAACAGCACGCACAGACTCCATTACTGCGAAAAAAATCTTGCTTTGGGGCATTTCGAGTGCCACATGTGAATGCAGGAGGCACGGACAGGAGCGGCACTGACTGCTGCAGGCAAAACCAGGGTGACAGCGGGGACACGAGCTGGCTGCTCCTTTGGCTGTGGGAAGGGGAAGGCACAGAGCGGGGAGCAGGATGCTGGGGTCCCAAGTGGGAGCCGGACCCTGGCATCCCGCTGCCCCCTCCACTACTTGAACATAACCCTGCACCTCGATTTTCTCTGTTCACCGACCTCCCCAGCTCTCAGGAGCTCGTGTCCGAGCCGCAGCCCCACGGTGGCAAGCGTGGGGGTCCTGGCGGGGCCCTACCTTGCTCAGGATGTAGATGAGGTCACCACGGTGGAAGGAGAGCTCGTTGGGGTGCTCGCCGCTGCAGTCCCACATGCCTTGGTAGTAATTGGCGTAATCTCGCTGGGGGCCTCCTGGGAAGCAAAGCGGAAAGGTGAAGGAGATTACATGGGGAAATGCTGGGGAGAGGGGATTGCATGGGGAAATACTGGGGAGAGGGGATTGCATGGGGAAATACTGGGGTCATGGTGTGAGGTGTCCGGAGAAAGGGGCTGCAGCCGGTCGGTATTTGGGAAAAGACAAGAGAAAACGTTGGTGTTATTTTGCATTTCAGCTGAAAAGTAAAGGCCTGAAAACACCACAAGAAAAAATGGCAGGTCAATAAATAAATGCAGAAACACGATGAGTAAAAACGTGCGAGCACACTGACATGTGCTTCAGCTTCAGGAGACCCGAACTGAAGCTGCTGGCTACAAACCACAGGTGGACCAAGCCCTCCGAGTCCCTCACCTCCTCCCCAGGCCCTCTCCAAGCTGTGCCCGTGCCCTGGGGGGGGGCACGTGGCACCAGCCGGGCAGCGTCCCCCCAGTGACGGCTGCTTATTGGCCATGCCAGAGGCATGGAAGAGGAATACCACTAATTAGCATCGGTATTTGCACGGGGCCTCTGGGAGGGTGCTGCGGGGGAAGGTGACAGCCACGTTTGTTTATTCATTAAAGAAGCCATGCAGGGGATTTCGGCCGATTGAGCAGGGCCCACTCAGCAATCACACGGCACTGACTTCTCAGCCAGGACTGCCCGGAGCAGGAACAGGGATGGGAGGAGGGCAGGGAGCAAAATCTGCCTCCATCCCTCGCTCCTGGGCGGTCAGAGGAGGTCCCAGAGCGCCAGGCGCGATGCAGCCTGAGGGTGGGGACGGCTGCGCCTCCGCTCCTGCCCTCAGCCAGGGAGCTGTGACCACAGGCTGTGCTGCAGAAAGGAAGGGAACACGTCAGCCAGCAAACTCAATTTTTTCCTCCTTTTAGGGGGAGGCAAATGGTTTGTTTGCTGGAAGCCGAGGGTTTGGGCTGATGAAACCGCCAGCAAACTCCGTGCCAAGGCTGGGGACTGCCCTCAGCAAAATGTGTGCGTGGGCTTTATGGAAAGTGTCACAGCAGCACTTCCAGACCAAAACATTGCCATCTTTGCCATTACCCATCCAAAACTGGCCCAGAGACCACGGAAAGTGGGTCCCCATGGGGCTGAGATCTTCCTGCTGCACGGTGGGACCAGGCGGCTGATGCCGTGCACTCCAAGAGCCCCACGGCTGATGGAGATGTGGCTCCGTCCATTTTGCAGGCTGGGGACACAACTCGTCCCAGCATACCCAAAGCATCACAAAAACACCCAAAAAACAGATTCGCAGCTTTCAAGCATGCAAAACAACCATTAAAACATGCACCTGGACCAAAGGTGTCGGTCAGGAGACTGTTCTGGTGGTGCAGCACCAAACTGAGGGTGACTCCCGATGTCACGACAGGACACCGCTGCGATGATGCCCCCAGGGACAATAAAACCCAATAAAACCACATTCTGCAGGGGGAGAGTCGAGCACCAGGGCTGTACCAACGGACTGCGCTGCTCTGCCATGCGACTGAACCAAGCCCAGAAAGCATAAATAGAAAATATCGAGCACATGTTGGAGGAAATGTTTCTAATATGGTATAAGGGACTGAGTGATAAGGGTGCATCTGGAGTACTGTGCCCGGATTTGATCACCTAAATATGAAAAAGGACATTACAGAGATGGATAATGGTACAGCAGGGAGCAACTGGAATGACTCAGGGACTTGGGGAACTTAAATAGAAAGGCTGGGAAAAAAAAAAAAGTAGGTCTGCATCCTTTGGAAAGTATTAAAGGGGGAGCACGCAGTGGTGAGGAAAAGATTGTGAAGGGAATAGAAGGAGTAGGAGCTGTTGAGTTATTTAAGCTTGTACAAAGTGCAGGAACCAGAGGTTATGAACTGCAGGCAAAGGAAATATCAGGGTGTGCAGGCACGGAGCAAGAGGACAAAGCAAGCAGCAGTTCTGGTAGCAGCCAGTGAATTGTGTAACCACCAGGAAAGGTTCTTGCAGGAGGATGTGAGGACAACAGCGGGACGCAGAGCACAACCCAGCAGGGGGGAACGGCGCCTGGCACCGACCTGCTGGGTCCCCCGTGAGCCACGGTCACCTGCCGAGGACCGGAGGAGAGGGAGGGACGGATGCAAAGCACCAAAGCACCGAAACGGGAGGGCTGGACTCTGGGGGAAGGCTGCTCAGGGGCTAACTAAAAACCCTGTACTGCTACGGAGCACTACGGTTAGCTGGCAAAGGGCTTCACACACTGCCATCCCCCCGTCAGCCTGCGCTCCTTTCACAGGGTTATGCTCTGTGTCACTGACGTGCTGGGAGGGGAAGGGGTTCTGGGTTAACACAGAAAATCTTCCTACAAGAGGTCTCTGGAGATGAAGGGGCTCGCTCCCCTCAGCGCTGCCCGAGGCCACCTTACCCTCACGCAGGGCGGATGCTGCGGGGATGCTGCAAGCAGCTTGTCTCAGCTTCCCATCCTGCATTTGCTTTTCCTGCTTTTTATAGGGACGAGAAGAACTTGGAGGCATCTTGCCACCCTGTCAGCAAGGAGTGGAGAAAAGAGAAGGTGCTGGCAGCAGAGATTTCACGGAAGCTGTGCCCAGGATCCTGGACGTGCAACTCCCCGAGTACAAAGGGAGAAAACTTCCCCATCAGCAGAAAGCTTTGTGCTCCCTGAAGTTTATTTTTCCCACAACATCAGCTGGTTGGATGGAAGGCCTCACCCCTCCCACCAATGCTACCTTCAAAAGGTCAGAATTAATTGCATCAGCTGAAGATGCCTCGCAGTGAGAGCACAGCCAGGCTCTGTGTTTAATCCCTCGCCACAGTTTCATAAGCACGATGTTTGTGCAAGCTGTTGAAAATATCTTGCTAAAATTAAGACCGTTCGCAGAACAGGGATCCTGGCTGCCGTTTCAGCACTTGAAGATAAGGCCAGGCAAGGGAGAACATCGCTCTGCAGCCTCCTCGTGGGACAGTGGACGTCCCAGGTGCCCTGGCTCGATACCTGAACCTGCACCCAGAGCAGAGACTGATTTCAGTGTGACTGATTTACACTGATGTAAGTGGGACGAGAGCCTGCTCCCACATTTATGGGCCTTGGGGTCATTAAGAAAACCAGCCGAACGTGACAACTGCCTCATTTTCTTCTGCAGCCCGGGCAGCCCAAGGCAGGGCCGTGGGGGAGGCGCTCTGCCCCCGGCCCTTTGCTTTGGGCTCGTTGTTTCAGAAGCCTGTTGATGCTGAAACCTAGTGACAGCCGTCGGTTTTCGCTGCTGTGCTTGTGCTCGGTGAAACCTCCCGCCATGCTCAGGGACTGCGTAAGGAGGCAGGCTCCCGGCCTCCTGTTATTTTTCTGTGGACAGGATGCGTGCTGTTTGGATGTGGCTGGTAAGGTTGTGCAGCAGAAGCAGCCCCGCAGCCCGTCCAGCACAGAAGGCAGGGGTTAAGCAGCTGAGCAGAGCGAATGGGTGTCTTGGCTGGAGCAGCCTGCAGCTCTCCGCGGGATTTCCAGGGCTGCTCCAGCCTCGTGGCATCCTTGTGGTTCTTAGAAATTAGAAACAATAGTTTTCCATTAGCCAAATGCTCATCTGGCACTTTGGCCGCCTGATATAATTAAGAAATAGCCCCCCGCTCCCTCCCTGCAGCCCGGCACGCTGCTCAAGGACTCCTGTCATCTCTTGCTCACCCTTTGTCCAGTTGGACTGAAACACAAATTACCGAGGCAAAAGGCACAAGGGCTGGGGTTCCTGGTGCTGCGATAACCTTTCCCTCTTGAAATGCAGCCCAGCATTTCAGAGGCAAGAGTCTAACATATCATTTAGCATAAAAACAGACACAGGACTTAAAGCAATCATGACAACACTAATAACTAAAGCAGTTATAACAATTAACAAAAATTACAACTGCCAGGAAGATGCTAATGAGTATGAGCAGGGCATTAAAATGCCTGGCAGGACTGTGACAGGCGAAAGCCAACATCCCCAGGGTGGCCTTGGGGTGCTGCTCCCCACGACACCTCTGGCACCGGGGGGCCGCGGAGCTGCGCTCTGCTCCTGCGAGCCTCCAGCCCCATCCAGGGGGCGCGGGGGCTGCTTCTCTGCCCAGGGTTGTTTGGATGTTTAAACACTGGGAACACTCGTGGAAGGCAAAGAAAAATGCGTGTGTGTGTGTGCGTGTCCCAGCTCCTTCTGCTTTCCTTAGCCCGTGCCGAGGAGTCTCCAGGGATGGCTGTGCAGCCCCGCGTGACGACCACGGTACGGTTTGTGAGGATCAGGATGTCTTTCTTCCGAGCTCTGGGCGCTCGTACCTGCTGTAGCTGCCACATGCTCCAGTGGCCAAATAAGTCATCATGTGGGGAGGGCTCGGGTGGGAAACAAGCACTGCGAGACCACGAGGGGTGCAGAAATGCTGACTTGCCGTGGTGCTGGGGACAGCTGGGACTCCACCCTGCGGGCCCAGTGCCACCAACGTTTCGGTGCCCTCCTGGGGGCACTACCCAAGGCACGTCCAAGGTGTTTGACGCTGGCTGAGGGGAAGTGTCCCTCAGGCTAACCAGAACCGTCAGGGGAGTCGGGCACAGGGGCTCTGGCACAGACGGGCACAGTCTGGGGGAGCAACCAGCTGAGCAATGCCTGGGGCACTCGTGTGCCCGTGTGCACGCGTTCAGGGGAGCACAACCCCACGTGCACCCGATTTAGGCACCTGCCACCCGCAGCGGCCACCACTGAGCCCCTCCGGCCTCCACCACCCAACACCCAGGACTCCTGACTTGTCCCCCTGGGCCCCCAGCCAGGCGGGCACCCCCCAGCCGAGTGTGTCCCCTCTGAGCTCCCCTGGCCGGGCCGAGCTCCCTGGGGCGCGGGAGGCAGCAGGAATCCCCCGGCCAGCCCAGCCCCGGCTGCTTGGACACCAGCGCTGCTTTCCTGCGCCGGGGCGGAAGCAGAGATGGAAAAGCGAAGCAGGTGGGACTGGGGAGGAAACAGACCTTCCGCTCCTGTCCCACAGTGCGGGTCCTTAAGGAAAAAGCAGGGGCGGGGGCCCTGGCGAACATGGGGAGGCTCCTGGGCCGCCCGCTCCGTGCGGCTGGGCAGGCGGCCCTGGTTCCTGGGGTGGTGGCGGTGTCCGTCCGGCTTCCCGCGCCCGGAGCCCTCCCTGTGGTGGCTTCCTCTGGGCCACCGGCCCTGACTCACGTCCTGCTCAGCCTCCTGTTGTTCCTGCCCTGGCTCCTCTCCCTGGCCCCTCGGCTGTGTCCTCGTCCACCAGTGCCTGCACCCTGGATCCCCCGACCGCCGCCACCCTTGGGTCCCTTGGGGTGGCCAACACGGGGCGGGCTCTCACCATTTCTCTGTCCGCTCCCGGAATCCTCGCTGTCCTCTGGGATGGAGGGCTCCTTCTCTGGGGGGGAAACAGAGCAGAGAAGCCAGTGAAAAGGCTGTGAGCGTTACTGCGTGAGACATAATGGTGCCAGGCCATCGCTAGTGCTGCACTAACCCCGCAGGCAGGAGCGGGCTTGGGCTGTGAGAGCATCCGACTGTCAGAATAATAAATTCCCGGCTTAATTGTGAAGAGTGGAAGGGAGGAAGTCACAGATAATATTTTAAAACATGCTGCATAAAAATATAAATTGTTGTTAACACTGGTAAAAACAAATCACTTATTATAGCCTCATAAATTTATGTAGCACTTTGCCAAGTGCCCTATAGGAAGAGATGCTTCCTGTGCAGAACTTGCAGCCTCGGGAAAATGAGATGCTGAGGAGAAATGCCAGGACAGAAACGCACGGAAGGATCGTGGACAGAAGCAGAAATTACAGAGAAGGGACCCCAGGCAGCGAAGAGCAGAGACTGGCACAGCTGTGGGAGATTAGGAAAGAGAGCCCAAGAAAATACCAAGAAATGATACCATGGAAAAGTTTGTGTGAGCAAGGACAGGGAGGCTGCAGGTCATGGGGAAGCCATGGGGAAACGGCCGGTTACTGCCAGCAGCGAGCATCTGTGAGCAGGTTTAAAGGCGAATTAACGCCAGGCCACAGCAACCCCAGCCTGAGCTGGGCTCAGCTCGAGTCGCGTGCGCAGTGCCCACGGCCCGGGCCTCCTCCTGCAGCCACGATGCCAAGGCTGGGGCCGGCCGCAGGGCCAGGGCTCGCTCAGCGTGGGGCAGAGCTGCCAGGAGCCCCCGGGTGGCCTCCTGCTGATCCCCTGCAAGGCGACCGGGAGGCACCGGGCCAAGTGGCAGCAGGCGAGGTGGCAGCGGGCCAAGTGCTGCCGCTGGGCACTTGCTGAGGGCACGGTCCCGGCCCCGGCCCTGCCCCAGCCGTCTCCCCCGCCCGGCCCTGATCAATGCAAACCAGGTCAGGCCTCCGCTGTGAATTACAAATTGGATCCCGAGTTGGAGGGTCACTGCGACTGCTCCCCCATTAGACGGGAAGCGGCACCAAAGATCTTTTCTAAATAAATCAGACTTTATTGTAAAACTCGGCCACTGACGAGACAGAACCTCATTAGCATTGATTTTAAAATAAATTATTGAAAGTGGCTTTTGCCTGCTCTTTGCATTTGTAAAAGAGAATGTAAATGCATCTGCAGCAGCGCTCTGCCTCCATCATTCCCATGCATGCTCCCCGAAGCCCCGCATCTGGATTCCTTTGAACTTTAACCAAGGGCCCCCAGCCCCTGATCCGGTCTCGGCACGAACTGGGGGTCAGTCACACCCAGTCCCGTGCCAGGCCACAGAGACCCCAAAGCCACCCCCAGGTGGGGCAAACCAGCAGCCCCCAGGGGATGGGGCCACGTCCCCCAGGCGTGGGATTGGAGCTGTGATCACAGCGCGCCCACACCGCTCCTGGGCATGTGCACGGCTCTGCCGAGCACCCGCGGCCACCCCAGCTCCCGGCCGTGCTCCTCACACGCCTCTGGCTTGTGGCCGTGCCGCTTCCTGCAGGCTCCGCTCCCATCCCCAGAGCTGGGCTGTCCTCAGGAAACCTCCTCCCAGACCCCTGTGCCCCCGTTTCCCCTCCCTTAGGAAGCCCCTGCCCTGCTGACGATTTGTGCTGTGCCTCTTGCTAAAGGTGCTCGGAGGAGCCCCCGGGCTGTGCCCGGTCCCACGCTGGCTGCCCCGGTGAGCAGAGGCTCCGTGCGGCTCTTGGAGGCCGATGGGCTGCAAGGGCTATGATGGATGGAGGCTTTGAGGAAGGAAGGAAGGAAACTCGCACGGGATTTTTCTCAGGAAAACGTGGTGGGGAGGCAGCTCCCTGGTGTGGCTTCCCCCCGGCTGACAGCAGCTCCGTTCCCCCTCCTGCAGCCCATCTCCTCCGGCAGCGCTGCAGGGGGGCAGCCGCAGCCTCTCCCAGCCCGCAGCACAGGAGCAGGCGCCTGGCAGCTGCTCAGGACGGCCACAGCAAAGGCACCAACCCGGGCATCCTCTGAGCCGCATCTGCAGCGTGGGCTGTGCTGTGGCTCGCTGGCCCCTGGCCACATCCTCACAGATTTCGCACTGTGCAGGCGGTGGATGCAGCCTGGGGGGACGCGAGGAGCTCCCCTCCACATGGCTGCCCTTCTGCCTGTTGCTGCCAGGTGCTCTTCTGAATCATCTGCAAGCAAAGCCCTGCCCTACCAGGGCCTGGGCCAGATACCTCGGTCACCATCAGAATTTTATAGTGAGGAATTAGAGGGAAATGCTGAAAAATGTGCCTCCTGGGGCCTGCGCTTCTCCCCTCATGCTGCCTCCTTGTGCAGAGCATCACGGCCCCAGCCCCACCGCCCCTGGGAAGATGCCTTTACCATTACCCGGGCAGCACAATGCTGCAGCCCCCCCTTGGCACCCCCACTGGGGTCCAGGGCCCCCCTGCAGACCCCAGCCCCAGCCCTGGGCATGGCCAGGGAGCCGGTGGGCCGCGTGCCCCACTGCTGCGCTGGAGCAGCCTGGGCGTTGGGCAGATTCTCAGAGGAGCTGTGTTTTAATGTAGCAATTTGATTCAATTTTCCACTCTATAAAATTACCCATCACTGCTCGTTGCTTCCTAACAGACACCTTCACTCTTAATTTAACAATCCTATCGAATTCTGCCAGGGAAATTGGAAAAATTTATCACCTGTGAAATTTTATTTTTCCTTGGTTGTATCTGTTTTTGTAAAACTTCATTAACGACGATGACTTGCTGAGGAAATTATCTCTTCATCTCCCCCCCCCCCTTCTTTCTCTCCTCTTTCTCTCTATTTTCACTCGGGACACAAGGGAGGCAGCAGGGCCAGAGGAGACCCCAGCTGGACAGGGATGCCCTCCCACGCTTATGGGGACTAGGGGTGTGAAGGGTCCCAACGCCCCACACCCAGGGGAGGGCATTCAGACACGTTTGAAGGCCACAGAGCGTTCCCGCAGCGGATTTGCAGCTTTTGACACACTGCGTCCCAGAGCAGGGGCAACGAAAGGGTCTGTCCCTAGGGCGACTCCACACAAGCTCACTCCAGGATCACTCCAGGATCACACGTGGAACAAATCTCACATCTGGTATCTGCCCCGTGGGTGGTGGCAGCAGCGAGGAGCTGGACGCAGCTGCCAAAGCAGCCGGGGACACTGAAAGCCCCTGGCCTGACAGTTTGTCAGCACTTCCCACACACCCGCCTAGGGACCACGGAGCAGAGGCTCCCGCTGAGCTCAGGGATCACCGCAGGTGTGCCTGGAGGAAGAAGCAGCTGCTGCCCAAAGAGCTGACGATGTAAACAGAGGTAAGAAGGAAAGACAAGAGACGGACAGAAGCTGAGGCTGTACCCAGCGTTGTGCTGGCAGCCCGGGGCCCTGGAGCCTCAGCTCCGCTCCCGGCAGCTGTCTGGATGCCACTCGGAAACCGCTGAGCAGAGATTTCCTCCGGCAGCAATAGCACGACAAAGATCTTGGGCACCATAAAAATTTCTGGTGCATTTAATATATTTTTTAATCACTATGAATATAAAGTTCTGAAATAAATAAGAAGAAACAAGGATCTATTTTGCGTGTCTGAATGCAGACACCAAGGGGCCCTGCTCAAGGGGATGGGGTGCAGGGTTGGGCAGTCCCAACCTCAGCAGAGGCAGAACACAGCACGTGTGTCTGAGTAAGGCTCCGGTGCCCTGGGGCATGTCACACTGTGATTTCTGCTGTAAGAAACGTTGCAGACCGTGTCACCCTTTCAGTCTGTTTGGTTCTGTGCCAGGAAGATTGCTTCTGGCTCCTTTAACTGACAGCCACTGCCCTGCTACCTCCAGGCCTCCTGCACTGTTAGGGAACAAGCACTAGTCTTTAATGCAGTTATTTTATCATCACTTGGAAGGCCAGTAATCGCGTTACAGCCATGACTGCATGCCCAGAAGGGAGCATTTTCATCATCTAACTCTGATTTTCCAGGTAACACAGCCCAGAGATTCCACTCTCACCAAACCTAATATTACTGGAGCTGAATGGAGCACAACCTCTAAAAGCTGCCTTGAATTTACAAAGCCCCCACCTCACCAAAACAGAAAGGCTCTCGCAGTCCATCAACCAGTCTGAACAAAGAAACAGGGCAGCATCTCTGAGTTACAGGCTTATTAAACTCAGCAGAGCCTGAGATGTTCATTCCCATCAATGTGTTAGGCCATGCTTTCCTGCCACATTTGCAGGGTTAAAGCTAGGGCATGGCTCGAGTTTTAACCTTAGGTGGTTGCATACCTGGAAAAACCTCATAGACGTCATCCTCTTCCATCCCATCATCCGGATTCAGGGTAGTGTTGTGGGATGCTGTGGTCACCGAGTCAGAACTGTCCACATCATTGTAGAGCTCTTCCTCGTCCTCCTCATCGTATGGGATAGTGAGGGAACTCAAGTCTGCAGGAAGCAGAGAGCAAAAGCATGGTGAAAAAGAGTAAACTTTGCCAAGCAGGTTGCTGGTATTTTCAGTGAGTTGAAATCAAGTAACAAAGCCTGTGCAACGATACTTGGCGCTCACTACGGACCTTGCAGAGGGTGAACCGTCCCCACCCTCAGCCCGTGAGCATCTGGTGTGAAGAAAATGGGGTGGAAGCTGAGAGCAGGCTAAAACAAATTAAAAGCCCAAGAAAGGATGGCAAATGCCAGAGAGCCAGCCAAACTCAAGCGCCTCCAGGAACTGAGCCTCACCCCATTCCTGGGTATTTCAGAGAAGGTTGACATCAGCAAGACAAAAAAGAAAGAAAGTGCAATCACAGGGTTTGATACAATGAATTAAACAAAACCGATCTGCAAGAACATGATTTAAAACTGGAAAAGCACCACTCGGTCTGAAATCGCGCAGCTGTCTATGGTTTCTGGAGGGTTTCCATATACAGGACCACAGTTTCTTTTCAGTTTTGCTGTTTTCAAACTGGAATGACTCCAGTGGGGCTGGGCCATCCCTCATCAGCCAAGCAGAGAACAGCAGATCTATGGCAGCACGGAGCAATTCCTGTAATTGTCTTGTCCTACTTGGTAGCACTTGCAGCTTTTGAGACATCACAGGACACTGTTCTCTAAAAACAGTCAGAAGTGCTGGAGGTGAAACCAAACGCCTATGGGCTCCAAGCAACCACCTCTTTTTAACTGGCTGCTCAAAAGAGCAAAGCCCCAGAACCTCTCTTTTTGCAAAGAGCAGATGCACAGGAGTAACAGGGGTTGGGTTCCACTCCCAGGGCTGGGGAGGGGACTGACTGCACAACTTCACAGCAGAGGAGTAGAAAGGAGGATTCTCGATTCCCTTCTCAGCTCTGTTGTGTTTCCAGCAAGGTCCTGGGGCTGAGCACAAGCCCACATGCTGCTGCAGGGAGCTGCCCAAGGGAAGGGCTGCTGGGATCTGCCCCAGGGAATGCGGCACAGCAGCTCAGGCCAAGCTGCCAGACTCACCCTTCATGAGGAACTGGATCTGATCCACCCAATCTTCAGCCTCTGCCGGACTTGGGGCTGTGAACTGGAGAGGGATTCACCTGTTACCATGCTGTTTCTTATGTGTACAAAGATGAAAAAGATTTCCAGCTAAAATAAGAGATTTCGTTTTTGGATCTGCCATTCTGTACCCTGTGGACTTTGGGAAAACCATCTCACTTCTTTATCTCCCTGTTCCAAACAGGGAAATACAAGCGGAACAAAGCTAGACTGTCCCAGAGGAAGGCTGTCAAGCCTAATTCATTAAAAGAATTCAGATGAAAACCACAATCCCTGCTGAATATACTATACTGACTCTGAACAAAGGCTCTAGATCCAAAATCTCCCTGAAGGTCTGGAAGGCTCTCATATACACTTTGTGGATTGAGCCGGGTTTTTCATTATACCAGTTTGTAGGATCCCTGATGGATGCTCAACAAACTGAAGATTTAAATTTAACACAGCTCTGAACGGCTTATTTAAAAATTGGCTTTCCACACCCAATCTTCTACTGCTTCTAACCCACGTTTTCACTTAACTCTTGTGATTTTCAAGTGCAAAGAGAGCCCAGGGTCACTCTCGTGCCAAGGGAAGGTCCATGTTGAGGGACCAGCTGAGAAGAAGAAGCATCAACACCTTCTGCAGTGCTTCTTGGTTTGCTTTACCAGGGACCGAGGTCTGGAGATCCACAGCCTCCCTGACCCTTCAGGTCCAGCCCGTGTCCTGGACCTGGGAGCACGTGCTCCTGTGCCTTGTGGCCAAGCAGCACCAAGGCTCCGCTTCTCTTCCCAGTTCCTACCTCATAGGTGCGTTTGCCAGGGCAGATTAATTCAAAACAGCATCTTCTGCGAGAGTCCTTGCGGAGATGGAAAGCCAGCCGGGCACTATATTGCTCGATGGAGAAGGTGCCTTTAGGTTGCTTGCCTGGAAGAAGAGAAATGCGATTACTCTTGGGTCTGTAACTTTTTATCAAACCTGCAGCACTACTGGGTGCGGAAGACGTCTGTTGCCCACATAGGGAGGCCAAAGCACACCATGTTTCAAGGGGAGATGTCAAAGAAAGACTCAATCTAAGCATCTCTGCCCGCAGAAAACCCGAAGAGAACATTATAAGGTCTTCACAAAGACACAGTAAAGAGGATGTCACTGTAAGCCTCGAGAGATTGTGAACAGCCACTGAAAGGTTGCCAGGGTCACAAGGTTGCTCGAGATGAGCTGCTCATAATGAAGCAGAGACCACTGTGTACTTGGGGAAATACGATAGCAACAATTCTTCCGCTGGTAAGGGATTAGCAGGCTGGCATACAGAAAGAAATGCTTAGCGGGGCCTTTGAGAATTGGCCTATGGATCCTGTGGATGCGCGCTCACGGCCCCTGTCAGCCAGGGTGGAGAGAGGGAACTTCACTGCTGTCATCTGAGGCGCTTTTATTTACCCCAGCTGGATACCCAGCTCATTATTTCCTTATCAATCTTCTTGACTAAGTGTGGGAGTATGACTCAGTGACTCAGCCAGTTCCTCTTAACCTTTTTTTTTTTTTTTGATTTGCTGATCATCCACAGAAACTTCCAGAGACAAAGGCAAGCCCTATAAAATGATTCCAGACCACCTGTAACAGGTTTGCTTTATTCTGTTACCTTCTGGAGACCATTTGGTAGCTGACAACTGCCTGCCTCCCACAGAAACAACAGAGTATCAGCTCTTACCTTCAGTGCCTGCCTCTGCTAATATCTTGCTCAAAATTTCCAAGCAACTCATACCCCTGCATGCACCTCAGCCACACTGACTGATAGGAAGCTTCTTTGCAAACCTTCATGAAAAAGTACTCAAGATCCTCAAAAGCTGCAGAAGGAGGAGAGAGACCCAGCTTCATCCCCAGGAGCCACTGGAGTTTGCTCGTGCCCTAGCTGCAGACCGGTCATTGAGAGCCAAGGCTGTACCCGTGTGCTCTGTAAGCAGTTAACCTGCTGAGTTTCTGGATGGGTGGAACAGAGTAAGGAAGGCCATATATTTCATCACGCCAAACTCCGCTGGAGATATTAGCTGTCTGTTTATATGTACCTGATGGAGCATGACTACAAAATATTTATACACGCTGACACGTGGATTATATACAGTCACTTAGGGGGCTGAAGCCCAGCTGATGGCTAATCGAAAACTTGGTGTGTCATTTTATTTACACACTGCTCTGTTCCTGTCTTTCTCTTGTTCTCTACCTATAAAGATGTTGAGGGTTAAAAAGCTGAGATATACCTTTCTATGAGAACCTACATGTTATCCCTTGATAGGGAATTACTGCCTTACTCTTATTTATCATATGTCTAAGAAAAGAAATTGGGGGTTCAGCAGGAGCAAGATGAGATGACATCCAGATCCCTTAAGTGCTTTTGGAAATTGCAGCCAACATCTCGTCTTCACTTGAAATGAGCACTAAAGGTATGTTTGCTCATTTTTACACTAATTGCCTAATAATTTTCCTTTGTGACACACTGTCCCAGGGGGCTCCTGGGGACCAGGTGCCTGTAAGGCTGCCCCCTCCCAAAGCAGGGCATTTCCAGGCAGCATCGTGCATTGTCCTGGTAAGAAATGACTGAATTAAAATTACTTCAGCCAAATTCATACCTAAAACCCCAGCAGCTGAAGGTAAGGAAACAGCCCACTGTCTATGCTTTTCTCTTGTCAGGTCCTAGCCTGCCCTTTAGCAAGGGCTCTCCCCTTCTCCTTCCCAGCCCTGTCCACAGTTTGGAGACCAGGGGTGGATGTCTCATCACTTACTTTTCTCATTGGCATAGTAGAAAAAGGTCCTTTTGTTGAGGACACACCACCGCTTCTGCCACTCTGATCCAAAAAAGCTATGGTCTAGAAAGAAAAAGACAACAAGGGAATAAAAAACGTGAAGTCCTGCTCTTTTGTTGAATGCTTCTCTAGATGAACACGCCGGCAGGTAAAGATTTTCTTAATCCCAACAAAATCCTGCAGATTTCTGGCACCAAATTTAGATACAAAACCTCAGCTAAGTAAAGGAGAGCAAGCCAGTCCTAGTGGGCTGGAGAAAACACAGCTTTGGGGTGAAACCTCTCTAATTGAGGCTTAAGCAACTGTCTTTTATGTTGTAATTGAAGCAAGCTACAACATGCAAAGGAACAGTTATGCACCTCAGCTGGTGATCATGAGGAAAAAAGGGTTGTTCTTACCTCATCCCACCTGTCATACAGTAAATAAATCAAGATAAAATCTGACTGATGAGGAAATAATTTGTAGCTTTCACAAGAGTCAGTAAAATCAAGATAAACCTGAGGCTGACTCACAATCCTTATCTCAACTTGCTAATGTGTGTGATGCTACGAACTACCTTGTCTTCACCGGGATTTTATCCTCATTAGGTATTGCTTGTTAGAAGGGCACATCTTGCCTTAGAGGACTAGGCTGCTGCTTAATGCAATTTCTGGGTTTTAATCTTTGTGGAGTTTGATGATCTACAAAAGTGAATAAAGGCTGTGCTCTCCTTTTGTGTAAACTATAGCAGCTCCTCCACCATCACTCACCATCTGCCTTTACCTTGTCAGACAGAATAAAAACACAGCCCAAACTGAGCCCCCCAGACTTGATGTACTTGTCAGGCCTTACCTCTGGACCTCTTCTCCAGATATCCTTGCTTCAGAATGTTCCCTGTGTCTTGAACAGGCCTCGGTGTGACTTCCTCCAGTCCTGCGGGGAGCAAAGCAAAGCTTTGGGGTTTCCAGTTCGCACAGTGCCTCTCCACTCTGCAACCCACATGCACATGAAGTCCAAATGGAGAGGCACGGATCCCTCCAGAGACCTTGCTCCCAGCTGTGAAGCATCCTTGCAGAGACATCACACCACCTACGTGAGTCCTGAGAACTGTACCCCCCACGCACTGGCATTTTGAGGGTGTGCTTGGACCCATGCTGCAGCCCTCCCCCATGAGGGGACGGGCACCGTCCTGCAGGAGGCAGAACAGGGCACAGCAGCACGCCCGCCCCAATGCCAACAGCCTCGGTGCGAGCTCAGTCCCTTCTCTCTCCGGGGGTCTCCCCCACAACCAGCACATTTATCGTACACGTTACCGCGTCCTCCCAAGCCCCTGTGCAGACACCACCCAGCTCAACCTCAGGAGCTATTCCCAGTCCTGGCTGCAGGTTCCAGAAGCAGTCCTCAAGGAAACCTCACGCTTCTCACAGCTACGCAGACCCATCCCCAGAGGGCTGAGACCGCTGCAGCTCCTGGGGCTGCTGCCAAGCCCCGGCTGCCCCGCCAAGGCTCCCTTGGTCACTGGGGGCCTCTGGCAGCAGGCAGGATCCGCTCAGGTTCACGGACTCGTGGTGCCCTTGGCCAACACCTGGCCAAACTCGGCCCACAGGGGGTCTCTGCCCCTCGCCGTGCTCTGCATCGCGCTGGCTGCAGCTCGGCCCCGCAGGTGGCGCGGCCGGGAAGCCCCCGAGCCAGGGCCTGCTGCTGTGGTCTCCCCCTTCTCTGCCGCTCATCTCCTGTCATCATAACTTGTACTGAAAGACAATAAAAAATGACTAACGAAACACCACTAATCATCTCCCCGGTGGCTGGCCTTGGCAGCCTTTTAAGTATGAATAACTTCCCAGCATCCCAGGTCACAAGAGTTTCTCTCGTTTCCTTAGCGCGCCGCACTGACGTCCAGCTCTCGGCCCAATCCATCCCCTGTCAGTTCCCTCACTCTCAGGCTATTTTCATTTTTGTGTTTTATCGTTTGCGAACTCAGTGCTCGCTATAAATCCTCCACAAATGGCTCTCGGGGCGAGCGGCAGACACAAAGACACACAAAGTTTGGTTTGGTGGAAGGCTCCCCTACGTGCGTCTCCTGCTGCTGCTCTTTGCTGGCTGGAAACCTGCAGCAGCCGACGGCCCGGGCCTCGCACAGCGCCTGGAGGACGTGGGCAGCCCCTTCCCGCAGGGATAAATCCCACTTCTCTCCAGTTCGAGTCGGGTTGAGCTTGCTCCTAACTCCAGAGAAGTGCAGGGCAGCAGCTTCATGACCATGAGACAGGGGCAGTTGGCCATGAGGAGCTGAGAGCAGAGGGGGAATCCCCTTCATACAGCTGGTGCTGAGCACCACTCTTACCACTGCTCCTACAACAAAACCACACAAGGACCCAGAGTCTGTGTCAGGGTTCAGGCCGGGCTGTGTCAGGGCTCAGGGGATTTTCCCAGGGCGGGTAGCCCAGAATTATGTCCCACGTTGCTCCCGCAGCCTCCTCGGGCACAGGTGGCCCTGGCACCACCAGAGATGGGGCCGGTCACTGCCTTGGCCTCCAGCAGCGCTCGCCACGCTCCCAAATTCAGCAACAGGGCTCTGTGGCAGGAGGCCCACCAGCCCCTCGGGGGCCCGCAGGGCAGCCGCCAGCAGGGGCCCAACGTTGCCCGTGCGGCCACCTCCTGGGGTGCTGGGCTGGGCTGGGGGCCCCCTCTCCCAAGGCGCGTGGAAGCACCTGCACACCGAGGAAAGTGAGCTCAGGCTTTTCTCTAGCTTCAGACTCGTAGAAAGGCACGTTCTCTTCTCGAACCCAAGCCCCAACCCCTTTTGTTAATGCAAATCTAAATGTCATTTTATGGGACATTTATAATTATGAAAATGGGACGGTGCTGCCGGATGCACAGGGAGACCCTGCGAGTATGAATATTACATTAATGTGCCCAACGCCAGCTCGCTGATCCTGCTGGCAGGAGCATAAAAAATGCTTGAGTGAAACTTTTATTTAGACGTTAAGATTCCAGGCCCCAGCGGGGTGACAGAGGCAGCCCCGGTGAGATCCCATCAGCACGAGCGCTCGAATTGAATTACCCAGGGGGGAAGGCAGGAGCTGCGAGTGCTGCTTCGCTTATTTAATTTCATTTACTTCCAGTACATTACCAGCATGGGGCTTCCCTCTGCCCCCACTCCCCCAAGACAGCCGGCTACAGAAATCGCCGCCGCGCTCGCTGCTGCCGCTGGAGCCAGGGCAGGGCCAAGGCGTCCCCCCCAGCTCCACGTCCTGGCCCTGACTCCTCTCCTCAGCCTAGGGGGAGACCCGGGGGAGCTGCAGGGGCCTCCCAAACACCAGAAGGAGAAACTGAAGTGGGGAAGCAGCACAGATGTGGCAGGAGCCAGCAGCAGCCTTGGCCAGCTCCGCGTTTTCTCTCTCTGCCCGTCCTTCCTCAGATCCCGCCTGCAAGCGGGACCAGGGCAGCTGCTGTGCCCCCAGCTCCTGCTTTGCCCCACGTTGGCAGCCCCTCGTGCTGTGCTGTGGTGCCCTGGGGGCCCGGACCTGCCAGGCTGGCAGCCCCTGGGCCCGGCACCTCCGCAGCATCGCCCCGACACCGCCAGGAGCCCGCGTCCCTCCCAGGAGGTGCGTGCGGTGCCTCAGCTTCCCAGCAGGAGATCGGGATGAGAGGAGACTCCTTAAATACTCGGTGGCTACTCAGAGAAGCAAACACAATTAGGGAGGGCTTGAGAGGACTGATTAGATTGCACAAAGCTCTGGAAATGTGAAGTTTTACAGGACACGACACAAACCCCGCAGCCTGCCCTGCACAGCCCTGCCAGTCGGAACCCCCAGGTTAAAGCTGGGCGAGGAGACGCAGCTGGGCTGGGGCTGGGGGTCCCCTGCCCGCCCCACACCCCCAGCCTGCCCACAGCGACAATCCAGATGGCTTTTGCTAGCAGCAAATGGCAATAGTAACCTGCAAATACCTCCCCTGGGGTTTTATTCCTTTAAAGTGTCCTAATGGAAGCTCTCTGGCTTCCGAGGGCTCCTTTGCTCGGGTGCTTGTGGCAGGGGCCAGGCAGCCTCCGCCAGACGCCGCTGCCCAGGGCCACACAGCTTGCAGGTAAACCAGAGCTCACCGCATCTTCTAGGGCTCCGGGCGATGGAAAAGCCAGCCCATCGGCTGGTCATCTGTTCCGACCACTAACGGCCATTCACCATTCATACAAACAGAGGGAAAAGAAAAGGCCTTAAATTCATCTGAGAGCACCATCTGTGCCCTCCCAGGGACACGGCCCCTCTCCAGTGGCTCCAGCCACTGCTCGGCGGGGCTGCGGCTGTGGCTGCGTTTGCACGGTCCCGAGGGTCCCTTCCACCCTCGTGCCTGCCCCAGCCCCTCCTGTGCCCAGCCCAATACCGGTTCTGGTGCCGACCGCCTGCCGCAGCTGAGCCGTCTGAGCCCCTGCCTCACAGCCACCGGCACCTCAGAGCCCTCCTGGCCTCTCCTCCACCCTCCTCTCCAGCCTGGCTCCCGAGGGCTCTGGAAGCTGCTCCCCAGGGATTTTCCCCCAGATGAGCTTCCTGACCACTGGGACACGTCGCTGCATCTGGAGCCTCCTGTGCAGGAACGGCTGCAGGCTGGCAGCGCCGGGCATAGCTCTGTGTTGGGAGCTCGGAGACTGCTTTCTGCAGAGGACACAAAGCTGCAGCATTTCAGGAGGGGGAGAAGAGTGGGGCCAGCAACCCGCGCCCACAGGTGCAGGAGCAGACACCCGCTCCCTCCTTTCCCTGCCTTCCTGCCCCTCAGCCTTTGCAGTGACTTGCACCCCCCAGGGATGCTCTTGGCCTCAGAGGTTTCCCTCTGCCAGGCTGACACGGGCGGACGAGGAGAACGATTTCTGCCCAGGTCACCCAATGAGCCTCCGCCATTGCTGGCCAGACAGCATCTTTTGGGCAGTTTCTAGGAGTTTGGCTGCCGAGCCCCGTGCCTGTTCCATCCCGTCTTCGCCATGTCCTCAAGGACCTCTGGATTTCAGCTCTCGCCCCTTTGGTCTCTGAGTCACGCACACCAGCTGCACGAAATGTCACAGCAGCTGCAGCCAAACAAGCCCAGGGGCTGCGCTGGTGCCCACGCTGTCACATTAACTGACTGTTCAAAGGGATGGAGCACGGAGGCACGACGCTTACAGCTAATTCCCGATCCTCCAGCTTATTCACCAAGCTCAAATGTGCCAAGAGCAGATTCTGCTCCTGGGGACTTCACTGGGAACACCCAAATAGATTTCAAACTAGAGCACAATTGGCTGCGATTTCCCAGAGCCCTCCGTGGTGGCTGCGCTTTTGTTCCATTGAAGCTAATGAGAATAAAAACAATCAGAACTAGACAAACAACCCCTCCCAGCCTCCTCAAAGCGAGCCGGGCTAGCTGAAAGGTTTTGGAAATCTAACCCTAACCCTAACCGTCACCTTTTCCAAGACCAAGATAGAGGCTTTGCTTTCTCGCACCACACGGAAGGCAGGTGCAGTCCCTAAGCCCTCTCCCTGTAACTTTTCTGCGTTCTGCCCCCTGCTCCGATCCCGGGGGGAGGCCGGGAGGATGGGGAGGCCCGGAGCCTCGACTCCCTGCTCTGCCGATGGAGGTCGGCAGATCCAGCACCGGGTGAGATGTGCCAGCGCTCCCTGGCTCCGCGCTTCTTCAGCCCGGCAAAGCAGCGCGGGTGGCCCACAGACCCCGTCCGACACCCGCACCCGTAGCACCCCGCAGCGAGAGCGAGCCGCCGGCCAGCAGCGCGGTCACCCAGCTCCCTGCCCTCTGCTTGGCTCACGGCGCGTCCCCTGGGCAGCCCCAGGACCTTGGGACCCTTCGGACACGCTTCCCTCCGCCCCTCGGGAACGTCGCCAAACCTTTCAGCGCCTTGGGAACGGCCGGGGATCATTTATGAAGACGGGAATGGAATGAGCAGCCACTTC